GACTGTGTAAAATTTGAAACAGCAAAGTTTAGTAGAGGTGGTACTTCCAGGAGTTGGGTCGAGGATTTTCATGGAAAAACTATAGAACCACTTTTTGGGCTTCGAATTTCAGACCCTTTTTGAGACTTTTTGTGGGATATTTCGATGGCAACGGGCCAGTATATAACTAAACTCTCAGTTTCAGTCGCTATTTCCGGCAGGGCTGCTCCCGGACAAGTTTTGGAAAACCCGAATTTAACAAAGAAATCCACTTTTTCCTCAATAAATTGGCGAAAGAAATTTTGTGCGGAAATCAGCAAATGCCATCTGAAAGAGCTTGAAACGGCGAGCATTTTGGTATACTACACCCGGCCAAAACTATAGTGACTAATGCGGTATGGAATGGTGAATGCTGGACTACCTGCCCGCGATGCATTTCCCGGCCCGTTTAACAAAGACTCCCTGTCGCCGCACATTTAGCATTCGATAGCTCGGGCCCTAGGCAATATTATCCGAGGTACAGTATACCAAAATGCTCGCCGTTTCAAGCTCTTTCAGATCGCATTTGCCGATTTCCGCACAAAATTTCTTTCGCCAATTTATTGAGGAAAACGTGGATTTCTTTGTTAAATTCGGGTTTTCCAAAACTTGTCCGGGAGCAGCCCTGCCGGAAATAGCGACTGAAACTGAGAGTTTAGTTATATACTGGCCCGTTGCCATCGAAATATCCCACAAAAAGTCTCAGAAGGGTCTTAAATTCGAAGCCCAAAAGTGGTTCTATAGTTTTTCCATGAAAATCCTCGACCCAACTCCTGGAAGTACCACCTCTACTAAACTTTGCTGTTTAAAATTTTACACAGTCGTCTCCTGTTCCAAAAGAAACCCCCAGTATAGCCATCCAGGTCTCTGGCTCACCTTAGAACCCAAGCTCTGGTGGTGGTTCCATAGTTTTTCCATGGAGTGTATATACCATCGGCTGTCAATGGCGAAAATTATGCGAAATGACTGTTATGCGAAATGACGGTTAGGCGAAATCACCACTATGCGAAATAAGCGTTATACGAAATAAGCGTTATGCGAAATCACCGTTATGCGGAATAAAAATTATGCGAAATGCAATTATCGCGAAATGGCGGTATGCGAAAGGAAAATTATGCGAAATGACTGGAAATCTGGGATTACTGAGAAATTTTATCCACCGCAGACCCCTGCCAACAGTCCAGTACCACAAAATGAGCCTTTTTCATGGCAGCTTGACAATTTAGAAATTTTTGGAAAGTTTATTTTTTTACGGTTTCAAACAGGGGTTGTTAAGTCTGGTCTACCCAGCCCCTCTAACAGTAAAGTACCGTTTTTTAGGCGGACATTTACCTGCTCGACGACCCGCTGTCGGCTGTTGATGCTGCTGTAGGACGCTTCATCTTTGACAAGTAACTACATCAACGTCGAAAATCATAATTTTCAGATGCATCTGCGAGTACCTCCGCGATCGTGTCGTGATCCTGGTCACCCATCAACTCCAATCCATCGGCCGTGCTAACGAAATTCTCCTGATGCGCGATGGAGAGGTGGTGCTCCAAGGCACTCTGAAGCAGCTAAAAGAATCCAACCCGAAGCTTGTCCATCAGCTTATTCAGGTTCGTACATCGAACGTGTGTCAAGTCGGCACTTTTGCATTATCGAGGGAGGGGCATCGGGAAATTGTTTCCCCGCCATTGAACGAATTGAATGACATTGAACGTGTGTCAAGTCGACACTTTTGCACTATCGAGGCGGGCACGGGAAAAAATTTGGTCCCCCGATAATGCAAAAGCACCTGACGATCGTTTTCCAGGAAACCACAAAAACCTACGCGGCTCGCCGCTCAGAAAGCGTGGCTAGTGACGCATCGGCAGAAGAGCAGATGGACGATGCTGTAGATGAGGTTTTTGAGGGAATTGGCATGCGCTTTCCGTGGATTGAACATCCGGTACTGGTCCGTTAACGAGGGGGAGGGCTTTAGCGGTGTGGAAACAAAATTTTTCCCGTGAGCCCGTACGTATCCCATAGGTAAATATAGCGCATGTTAGCACCATTTTAGCAACGTTGTTTTTAAATATAAAAACTTACAAAACACATAGTTTTTTCAAACATTTTTGATTGATCAAAATTCGTCAGTACCTCGAATTTCCAAGCATTTTAAATTTTCTTATACAGGTATCGCCGGAAAATAAAGCTAGTACCCCCGCTAACAGTCCAGTGCCGAATAGTCGTTGATTTTAGCCAATCAACCCCACGAGAAAGACCGCGAAATGGAAGCCGCCGAAGAGGAAGAGGAGGACTGTGCTGACGGATCGGTACCCTGGTAAGTTCAGCTACACCAAGCTACCATTTTTTGCCAGGTCCACCTACTGGCGCTACATCAAGGCGATGGGTCCCTGCTCACCCTACCGGCCCTCGTGTTCACCATCGTCTCTCACGCCGTCTTCAACCTGACCGATTACTGCTGAACCTCTGACCAACGCGGCTGAGCGGGCGATGAGGGCCGCGGGCAACAGCACCAACATCGATGACGTGCCGGAGGGCTTTACAGTATATTTTCGGGCCCTGCAACGGCTTTTTCTAGGACCCGTGTCAAGCTGTTCGGGCTTCAAATGGACGCCGTCTGGACATATCCCTATGGGTTTTCGGGGTCGCCTGTCCCCGCTCCATCGTAGCCTCTCATCAGGTAGGGATTCTACATCATGATAGATTAAACCACTATAAAAACCAGATTTTTGTGTGTTAGTGGGCATTTGCGCGCACGCCTCCGTGACGTTGTTCCGTACCTACGGCCTTATGCATGCCTGTTTTGGATAAGGAAAAACGAGCTCTAGAAAAAGAAAATTGGCCGGAATCGACTGACGAGTTTTTGACCCCGGCTTCTAATTGGCTTAACTCGTTTTAGAGCACCTGGTTGCGGTATCTGGAAACGTTGGCCTCACGAAATCTGCACGCCGAAATGTTCCACGCAGTCGTCAACACGGACCGAGTTCTTTGACAAAAATCCGGTCGGAAGAGTGAGTTTCAGCCAAATTCTGATAAAAATCTTGAAAATCTGATTCTCACGAATTGGAGAGAATGGACGAGAAAGGAGAGAGAGAGAGAGAAAGAGAGAGAGAGAGAGAGAGAGAGAGAGAGAGTGAGAGAGGGCGAGACGAGAGAGAGTGTGAGAGGGGAGATAGCGAGAGATAGAGGGACAGAGAGAGAGAGGGATAGGATAGAAAGAGAGAGAGGGAGAGAGAGTGCGTTAGAGAGACAGAAAGAGCGAGAGAGCGAGAGAGAGATAGAGAGAGATAGATAGAGAGAGCGAGAGATAGAGAGAGAGAGCGAGAGAGAGAGATTTTCCCGGAAAAATCCGCAAACCCGACTTGCTCCACTCTATTCTATGGATGTTTTAGGTTTTGAATCGATTCTCGAAGGACATGCACACGATGGACGAGTCATTGGCATTTGTGTTTTTCGAGTTCGTTCTGGTTGGTTTTTTAGCTCGGTACTTACCTTTTTAATACAGGATTTTTATAGTCTTTATTGATCTTTGATGCGCACTTTCCAGGGTATGCTTGGCGTTCTCGGCACTGTCGGAGTCATTTTCCGGGCCAATCCAAGAGTCATTCTGCTCTGCCTTCCACTCGGACTCGTCTTCATAGTGCTCCGCTCAATCTACCTATCCACTTCCCGGGATGTCAAACGACTCGAGGCTGTTTGTACGTTTTTTTTGTTGTCGTTACAACTTTCCTCAGCTCGTTCCCCACTTTATACCCACATCTCGGCAATGATGAACGGCTTGATGACGGTGCGGGCGTTCGGGAAGCGCGACAAAATCGAACAGGACTACCATGACAAAGTAGCAATTCTGCATTTTTTTAGACGTCTTTTTCAGATGAACATGAATTCGGCGGCCTTCTCGCTCTCGTTGACGACATCCCGGTGGTTCGCCGTGCAAATCGACTGGATTGTCGCGGGATTCGTCTCTTGTGTGGCGTTTGCTTGTGCCTTTGCGTCCGGTAAGCACTTTCTTGTTCAGGCATAGGCTTAGGCTTAGCCTTACTTAGGTTTCGTTAGGCTTAGCTTAGGCTTAGCTTAGGCTTAGCTTAGGCTTAGCTTAGGCTTAGCTTAGGCTTAGCTTAGGCTTAGCTTAGGCTTAGCTTAGGCTTAGCTTAGGCTTAGCTTAGGCTTAGCTTAGCCTTAGCTTAGGCTTAGCTTAGCCTTAGCTTAGGCTTAGCTTAGGCTTAGCTTAGGCTTAGCTTAGGCTTAGCTTAGGCTTAGCTTAGGCTTAGCTTAGGCTTAGCTTAGGCTTAGCTTAGGCTTAGCTTAGGCTTAGCTTAGGCTTAGCTTAGGCTTAGCTTAGGCTTAGCTTAGGCTTAGCTTAGGCTTAGCTTAGCCTTAGCTTAGGCTTAGCTTAGGCTTAGCTTAGGCTTAGCTTAGGCTTAGCTTAGGCTTAGCTTCGGCTTAGCTTAGGCTTAGCTTAGGCTTAGCTTAGGCTTAGCTTAGGCTTAGCTTAGGCTTAGCTTAGGCTTAGCTTAGGCTTAGCTTAGGCTTAGCTTAGGCTTACAAGGAGTGTCCTTTTGGTGTCATCGGCAAAACGATTCGAGACCCAGCTCATTCGATAGAGAATTGAATTCTGAACAAGACTTTGTTGTTCATTTTTGCGGAATGGCTGCCCCTGATTTTATAACATTAAAAAACTGCCGGCGACGCCCATCCATTGGTGCTTGGGAAGCGAGTTGTTAAGGTTTCGCGCTTGGTTTTTAATTTATAAAACCAGGGACAGCCATTCCGCAAAAATGAAGAACACAGTCTTGTTCAGAATTTAATTCTCTATCGAATGAGCTGGGTCTCGAATAGTTTTGCCGATGACACCAAAAAGACACTCCTTGTTAGCTCCTAGACACGTTTCATCACTTTCAGGAGATTTCCTGCCCGGCGAAGTGGCGCTGATGCTCGTCTACGCCGTCCAGTTGACCGGCTTCTTCTCATGGATTATGCGCCAGTCGGCAGAAATGCAGAACGGGGTACGATTCGGGAAAACGTTGCAATGCTACCCATTTTTTAGATGGTCTCCGTCGAGCGGATACTGAACATGTGCGCGCTGCCATCAGAACACCTCGACAAAGGTCACATCCAGGTACTGCGTCTTTCTTCTCCTCTTGACTAACTTGTGCTTTAGACCCCATCCGGATGGCCGTCGAAGGGTGGGATCCGCTTCGACAACTTTTCCCTACGATACGACGACTCGTTGGCCCTGCGCGAAATCACTGCCAATATTGATGGCAACCAGAAAGTTGGTGTCGTCGGCCGGACGGGGCCGGCAAATCTTCAATCCTCAAGGCCCTCTTCCGCATGAACAAGGCTTCGACAGGTGTGTCAGACTTCGGTAGTCATTCAGCTGATTTTCATTGCCAGGCCGAATCTTCATCGACGGCGTCGACATCAACTGCTTGCAGCTACGCGATTTGCGCTCGCATCTCGCCATCATTCCGCAGGTTCGTGGAAAGGGGTTTTGTTAAAATCCCGACAGACATAATCTCGACAGAATGCCGACGAGCAGAAACCCGACATCCCAAAATCCCGACAGTCGAAACCCCGCGGCGCCAATTTCGACAGCCATAAACCCGACAGCCCGCGATAATGCCGACAGCAAAATCCTGACAGCCTTTACTCCTGAAATCAATAATCTCGACAATCATCCCGACAGGCACAATCTAGGACAAAATACCGACAAGACTTGAGACCTTGGCCTGTAGGGATTCTGGCCTATCCGGATTTCCGTTGTCGGGATTTTATCTTCGGTATTTCGGCTTTCCTATTATGACTGACGGGCTTTTTGGAGTTTTCCTGGTTGAAAGCGAACTTTAAGGGGACTATAAAGTTGAGAGACAAAAACGGTTGCAGGAACCTGTCCTGTTCGTCGGTACTGTGCGGCGGAACCTCGACCCGTTCAACGAGTACTCCGACGAGGCATTATGGACGGCACTTGACCAAGTCGAGCTGAAGGTGTAAATTCAGGGGTAACGGAAGTTTAATCACTTTAGGAGGCCGTCTCCGAGCTGTCCGGTACCCTACTCGCTGAGGTCCAAGAGGGCGGCGCCAACTTTCTCGGTCGGACAACGGCAGCTCTTCTGCCTGGCCCGAGCGCTCCCACGCAATTCGAAGATCCTCGTCATCGACGAGGCCACGGCCAATGTTGATCCACAGTATGATTTTAATTAGGAGCAAAACAAACTATTTTAGTACCGATGAGTTGATCCAAAAGACGATCCGCCGTCAGTTCGCCAACAGCACGGTGCTGACAATCGCCCACCGACTGCACACGATCATGGACTCGGACTGGTGATGGTGGGTTTTGCTAATGCAAAATATTTTCCTGAGCCTAGGCCTAAGCCGCCTAAGCCTATATCTAAGCCCTATCCCAATCTTAGGCCTACCCTTAAGCCTAAGCCTATGCATAAGCTTCGCGCTGCAATGTTCCGCGATGAGCTCTTACTAACATCATCATTTCCAGGTGCTGAAGGACGGGCGTCTGATCGAATTCGCGCACCCGTATGAGCTCCTCAAGAAGCCGCACTCCCAGCTCTCAGCGCTTGTCAAGGAAACGGGTCGCGACACAGCCGCCCAACTGCTAGAAGTCGCCCGCCGCTCCCACGCAAATGCCAACCAAGCCGACGGAGCTGATCCTCGGGCCGAGACGGCGCCGCGGGAATAGCCAAAGAAAATTCGAGAAGTCGAAAAAGTCGACGCAAATTAAGCCAGATCCACATGAAATTCCTAGCGGTTAAATTTTGTATTACTTTATGGATGCTTCCTCCCGATCTCTGCTTTATTTTAAAGTGATTAAAAAGGTGATTTCCTTTTTCCCAAACCCCTAAAGGCCTTTCATTCCCTTATCGAGCGGGTTGCCCGTTTTTGGGCAGATCGATTATTCTAAAAATGGTACTGGGACTGTTATCGGGGTGATCATTGTTTGCAGTAAACCAAAGCCCCGCTCCCCACCGGCTAATAGCCCAGTACCAGTTCAGTAAACCTAAATTTTCCTACAAATTGTCCACTTGTTTCATTTCTTGTTAATCTAAATTTGATAATTTGCACTGTTCCACATTTTTCGGGAATCCTTTTTCAAATTGTGCGCTTTGCCGCAGGGTAAATCATCATGCCAATTTTTTTCACTTTTCTCCCCGGTGCACTAACCTGCTTCATTCCGAGCGATATAGAGGGTGTCCCAAAACGAACCATCTGGCATTTCGCCGTGTTACATCCAATCGGCCTCATTCTTGACCAGGGGTGTATCATACCCTAAATAACAAATAATCCTGACTTATAGCCTTGTAGCTACAGTCGTTCTCGAGTTATAACAAAAAATAAACTTTATTTTTCATTTTTCATACGGTTTCCGTGGAATTAGACCCACAAAACATTAAGCGAAAATAATTCGGTTGCGCCATCTTGATCTTAATAAATTTTTCCGGGCCAAAATTAATCAGATAATTGTCGATTTAAGCGATTTTTGTAACGCAAAATTACCCAAGATCCCAAGCAAAATTAGGGATTCGCACCCGGAAGTCGATGCAAATTGATGTAAAGTCCAAAAAGATAGCCAAAAACTGTTCAGAATTCCTGGAAAAGCAGTTTTTTTGTTATAACTCGAGAACTACCTTAGCTATTGGGCTAAAAGTCAGGATTGCAGTTATTTAGCGTCTGCTACAGCTCTCGTCCAATTTTGGGACCGATTGGATGGAAGGCGGCGAAATGCCAGATGGGTCGTTTTTTTGGGACACCCTGTATTTTTTTAATGTGCTTGCTCTGCCCCCGATAATGCAAAAGCACCCATTTGTTTTTCCCATTCACTGCCACCCGCCCATTGCCTTGTCCCTTTCGTAATGTTAATTTTTATTTTATTTTTCTCTGGTCCCGTTATCACATATTCATGGGTCAATAAATCTTTTGCCGTACATTGTTCATTCAATACATGGAATCCTGGGTGGTTGAGTCGTCGTCGAGGCTGGATACGGTTGTGGCTGAAATTTTTGTAGTTTAGGAATACTTTCGGGTATTCCGCATCGTTGCGGGGACCATATTTTTCATATTTGCCCAGATACTTCTAGCAAGCATTTAAATAGGGTTTTGATTCCATTTGGCTATTTTCGATAGCCATGGAAAATAACTAAAACTAAAAAACTAACTAGAAAATCTGAAAAGTTTCTAAACTGGTGAAATTTTCGTTGAAATCGTTCATTTAATAAAAACCCATCGTAAGCAATTCATAAAAATTCATATTTTTTTGTTTTTTAATAGAAGCTTGTGAATATTGGAAGCCGAGGAATGGTAGAAAACTGTGTAAAAATGGTGTCAATTTCCTGATTCAAAATGTCGAAATCACAATGTCGAACTCCATAGCGTCGAATGTCATAATGTCGAAATTGCAAAATATCGAAATTTACATGAGCAAATTTCCCGGAATTCTGAGCAAAAAATATCGGCATTCCTGGATTTCGACATTATGGCATTCAAATTACGAATTTCGGCACTACGATTTTCGGCATTATGATAGCGACATTTCGATCCTTATAAGCTTTTGAAGACTTACATTGAAGCGCAAAGTCCACGAAGCCATCAATTCCAAGGATGCGACGGCGAATATCGGTGCAGTTACCCGAGGCTGCATCGGGGATATACCTCACACAGCAGCACAAACAGTCTTTGCCAGTGCTGGAAAGTATTTGGTGTTCATCTTAGCGATTTTAGCGCTACCTGACGCAGTTCGTTCCGTGCAAAGCTGGGCTAGGGTCTCTGCCTTGCCCCTCCTGTGGTCCATACCACCATCTTGCTCGCGAGGTTGAGGGTGGGGGTGGTGGTGGCATTCCAGGTCCTACCACGTCCACGACGTCTGTCGTCAAATTGACGATCCTAAAAACTTCAGCCTGACTGGCTTCAACGAGGGCTCACCTGATCCCACGGGCCCCACCGCGTCCTCCCTGCCTTTCATCAGACCGCCCACCCCGTCGTTCCCGCGAATCTGGCCCGAATCGACCGCCTCCATCTCGTCGGTCATCTCCTCCGCGTCCGTGTCCTCGCTCTTCCGAATCCTCGGAATCACCTCCACGTCCACCACGTCAACCCATCGGCTCGTCGTTGTAACGACGATCGCCACCTCGGCCTCCCTGTCGCTCATCAGATCCACCGTGGTGTCCTCCGCGTCCCCGACGTCATCATCATCAGGTCCGTAGCGTCCGTGTCCACCACGTCCGCGTCCTTCATCAGAATCCGGGCCGAACCTTCCACCACGACCTCCAGGTCCGCCACGTCGTTCGTCGGAATCGGGGCCAAAGCGGCCGTGTCCGCCCCGACAGTCATCTTCGCGTCCGCGCCATCGCGACCTCCAGGACCGTGTCGTTCTCCGAATCGGGTCCGTATCCGCCTCGTCCTCCCGGTCCCTCCAGGTCCACGTCGATCTCCAGAATCGGGTCCGTATCCACCTCGTCCTCCTGGTCGACGGCGATCGCCATCATCAGGTCCCATATCCACCTCGTCCTCCTGGGCCTTCTGGGCCACGTTGATCTCCAGAATTGGGGCCGAAACCTCCACGTCGATCTCAGAATCCGGCCCGTATCCGCCTCGTCCTCCTGGTCCCTCCAGGTCCTCCTCGTCTACCTCCCATCATCTGATCATCACCGCCAAATCCGCCGTCCACCGCGTCCACCCATCATTCCAGAGTCATCGCGGTACATTCCGGACATTCGGACATTCGTGACTGTCCACCATATTCTCTATAACCACCCTGTCGCTGTTGACGCCCCACAAACTGCGAGTCCATCCCTGGCCTCCTTGCTGTTGGCGCCACTGCTGGAATGGGTTCCGGCTTGCGAGCTGCCGGTCCACGCGTCTTGCGCGGTCCACGGTCCGTTCCTGAAAATTAAGGTAGAAATCGTGATTCCGTTTGGATACCGTTGACAACGTCTTGTGAACCCTACCGTGCATTCTCTGTCCGCTCTGCGATGGTCCCATATACGGGGAATAATCGTCATCATTGTAAGCCGCTCTGCCGCTTCTTCCTGCCCATTCCCATCTCCATTTCCATTGCATCGTCATCGTCAATGCCGGAGAAGTAGTCCGATCCATGCCGTTGTTGTTGTTGCTCATCGAGTGCACCATGTTCAGGGCTCCTAGATTTTGTACCCGATTTTTGACGTGGATTTTGCCACACCTCGTGGTCCCCGTCCATCATCATTTCGTTGATCTTGTCCATGTGGTCTTTGTGGAGGAACACTGGGGTTGGGCATCCACCGTCAACCTGCGTCATCGAGCACGCCTTCTGGTCGTCGCAGTCGGCGTCAATGGGGCGAATTTCCTTGGTTCTGGAATTTCGGATTTAATACAGTCTTTCTAGCTCTATCTCGGTCTCTTTCCCTCTCTCTCTCTCTCTCTCGCGCGCTCTCTCTCTATTTCTCTTTCTCTCTCTCTCGGTCTCTCTCGCTCTCTCAGAACTCACTTGCACTGTTCGTGAGGCTGCGGACGTCTTCCCCCGCCCATCTGCATCCCGTTTCCGCCTCCCATCTGCATCATCCCACCATCATCTCCTTGACGCGAGGTGTTCTGCGAGCGGCACTCAAAGAGTGACTACAGTATCCGCATTTTGGCGGCGATCCGCGCTTCTGGTAGGCGGCCTGCAGCACCGAGAAGACCTCTTTCACCTTGGCCTCGATGAACTGAAATCGGGGGGATTATTTGGATTCCGCAAATGATTTCTGCCCACCAGCGCCACCAACCATGCTGACACAAGTGTTTCGCTAAGAACCTTGGCTAGGTTGCCTCTGCCATCTCAGACTCCCAAGGACCCATGCTAGCCTGCCACAGGCTTCAAAATCAAGCAGATGCTCCCAAATATCTCTGCAAGCTTGCTGACCCTCACAGGCTCCCAAAGTATCTCTGCTACCTTGCTCACCCTCCGAGGCTCCCCTCCATCAGAGGCTAATCTCTGCTATCTTGCACGGCTCCACAAGCGA